AATTTAAGAATGAAAGGGGCTGGGGATACAGGTCAGGGGCACAGCACCTGCTTGGCAAGTGCAAGGTCCTGAGTTCAATTCCCAGTACCCACCTCAACCCAAAAAAAAAGAAGAACAAAACAATTTAGAATTAGGTAAAAGTAACAAAAAAAGGCAAATAAGAAAAAGAAACGAAAAATTAAACAGTGAAGAGCAAAATAGAAAAATAAAAAAGACACTAAAACAAATTCCAAAAAGAAAACATTCAAAAAGAGAGGAGTAGCCCAAAAGCTTCTCTATCTGTTTGAGTGAGGGGTTTCCTTCTAGAGCCTGTGATAGTGGAATCTGCTGGGTAAGAGTGACAATGGTGAGTCCCAACCAGGGTCTATTTTGTTTCCATGTCCCCTTTTTGCTGTGGGAATGCTGACCCTGCACCACCTTGCTGGGCACCACTGTCCATGGTGTGGTGTCTGCCTTACCGCTGTGTTTGCTCCACTGCCTCTTAGTCCTTGCGCCTTCCTGTGAGATAGACAAGCTAACACTGTGCCCTGGGGGTTCATGAGGTGCCCCCTGGCTCCAAAAGCCCCTCCATTCATACGCCCCAGCCTGTGGCAAGTGTCCAAGCTGACGAGTACCCCTGACCATGTCGGCCAATGGAAAAGGCAAACAGATGGCTGAGCTTTGGGCTGAAGAAGGCAGTGAGGGAGACCAAGCAGTTTCACAGAGTTAACATCGATACCCTCGGCCCCAGCCTGCTCATTGAACACTGAGGGCCTGCCTTCTCATCACACGGGGTGGGACTGTCCCAGAACACCGCTGCTCCAAGGTCTCAGGCAGTCTTGTCCCCTAGTCCCCGCATCCTCTGTCACTATCTCCTGTGGCCTGCCCCATCTAGTCACTGTGGAAGGGTGACCTCAGAGGTCAGAACATATTCGCTCTATAATTTCTAATTCTCAGAGTAGCTCGGTCTTAAACAATGAATCTCTTGCTGGATGTGGTGGTGCATGCCAGTAATCCTAGCACTCAGGAGGCTGAGGCAGGAGGATCGCTGGAGTTGGAGACCAGCCTTGGCTACAAAGGGAATTCAAGGCCAGTCTGAACTACATAGCAAAACCCTGTCTCAAAAAGACACATTAATAATAATAATAGTAATAATAAATCAAATAAATACATAAAAATAAGACTCTCCCACAAATAGCCTTTGATCATACACTCCCCAGGATGGCGGACCCCGCAGTTGATTTCTTCCCACTCACAACTGCCATGTGGAAGGAGTCATTTTCAGATTAGAGCTCCAGGCTGTACCGCAGCTGACAGTACCTGGGCTTTGCTGGGGCCAGCGCTGCCATCCACTGTTCTGTGCCGGGCTGCTGACCCCTCGGCTTGCCTTGTGTGGGCAGGGACAGCACCTCCTCCCTGGGACCGAGGTTAGTGTCCCACACTGTCTTGTTCCTTTCTCTGCACGGTCTTCCGTTTCTCGAGTTTCTCTGTGGCTTCTAGTCCTCTTCCTATTGGCTCTTTCTTGATTCCCAGAGCTCTGTTTCTTTTTTCTCTTCCCTAAGTTGTTATTTTCCAGGTGTCTCAATGATTGTATTTTACTACTGGTCTTTACTCTGCCACTGTTTTTTGTTTGTTTGTTTTGGGGTTTTTTGCTTTGTTTTGTTATTTTGTACTAGGAATTGAACTCACAACCTTGCGCTTACCGGGCAAATGTCGAGCCACCCAGCGAGCGACATCCCTGGATACTCTACCACTGTTAAACCCCTTTCTCTGCCAAATTTCAATCAGCAGGGAAGGCAGGAGCAGTGTCCTTGGCTAAGTAGCTGCTATGGACTAAAATTTATTCATATTCACCAACTCTTTCTTGAATATATTCTGAGTTAAGATGAAGAACACCCTGAAAAGTAATGTAAATTAAATAAGTGCTAGCCACACTATTTTTAAAATATAGAGTAATTTTTAGCTTGAGAGGAAGGGCAAAAATAAACCAGTTGGCCATATTCAAGATTATAATAATGGTGAGAACAGTAACTTCTATTTGTTGGGCTCTTTTTTTTTTTTTTTTTTTTTTTTTTTGCAGTACCAAGGATTGAACTCATGACCTTGAGCTTGCCAGGCAGACGCTTATGCCACTGAGTTAAAGCCACAGCCCTTTGCTGGGCTCATCATGTGCCAGCATCTTACACATATTTAGTTACTTAAAATGATTGTCACTAAGGCTGAGAATGGAGCTCAGTAGTAGAGACTTGCCCAGTAAGCACAAGGCCCTGAGTTTAATTTCTAGAGCAGCAATAATAATAATAATAAATTAATTTTAATACTTTTCACAATGATTATAAATTATAAAACTGAGGATTAGCTAGTAGTCATATGGATAGAAAGGGGTGTAACCTAGATTGTTTTGAAAGTGTTTTCTGAGCCTAAAATCTATTTCTTGAATATTATACTAGGTCATTTACCACCAACAACAATGTTTACTTTCATAGTCTACTACAAGAAAACTAAATGGTTGAATACATTGTACAATTAAAGCCATTACTACATTACTCAGTTACAGAGCACTGAAGGTTTACTTACCCCCAGACATCTCCTCTACATTATGCAGTGTTGCTAAGCTTTACGTCCCTTTTAGGAAGGTCATATTCTCATCATAGCAGTAAAATCTGTTCCCATGAGAGATGCTATATTAATCTTTATGTCACTTTAACGAAGTTAACTACAGTTCAATACTAGTTCATTATAACTCAGTTCCCAAAGGAAGGAGATACTGATCACATACACTTTAGTGGACAATGTAAGAGTCGTTTGAAATCAAATTTTCTTAGTATGAAAAGCCAGAACAGGAGGAGCTAAACAGGGAAGTGCTACCAAAAAGAGGCCGCCTGTCCTGAGGGCTGGCAATCCTAACCCAAAATGGGATGTTCAGATTGGAGGGAACTTTGAAGTCTCAGTACCCTTCGCCACCACACCCACCAAAATCACAATTTCCTGAAGAAGGTTGGTCCCAGAGAGATTCTCCCACTTCTCCATTGTCTGTAAATATAATTTTTATCCATCCTAAAGCTAAATCATAAGCTTTTAACCCAACATCACCTTTTCCTGTTAAAGCCAGGAGCTGCTATCCAAAAGCTTGTTGCCTACACCAGTGTCTTGGAATGGTTCCCCTGTACATTTCTCCAAATCCTTCTTAGTTTTAGGTCTCACATTCTGAACTAGTTTTTATGTAAGGTGAGGATCAGGAATCAAGTTTTAGTCTTTTACATGTGGATATCTAGTTTTCCCAAAATACTGAAAATTTTGTCTTTCTATGACGTATGTTTTTGGCACTGCTGTCGAAAATCCACTGGTTGTGGATGTGCTGGTTTATATCTGGGATCGCTATTCTGGTCTTTGTGTCTGCTTCTGTGCCAACACCATGTTGCTTTCATTACTATGGCTCTGCATTACATCCAGAATCACACATTGTGGGGCTGCCTCCAGCCTCGTTCTTTTAATTCAAGATCATTTTGGCTATTGCTTTGGCTATTTTGGGGTTTCCATATGAATTTTAAGATTTCTTTTCTAGTCCAGTGAAGATTTATTTTCTAGTTCTGGTATTTTTTGGGGGATTACATTGAATCTATAAATCACATTGGATAGTACAGACATTTTAACAATATTAATTCAATGGACAATAGAACCGAAGCATATATATATATATATATATATATATATATATATATATATATCATATGATCCAACTACCCACCTATTTGTTGTACCCATATTTATTGTGACTCTACTCACAATAGCTAAGACATGGAATGAAACTAGATGTCCATCAGCAGATAAATGGATAAAGGAAATATTATATATACACACAAAGGAATATCACTCAGCCATTAAGAAGAATGAAATTATGTTATTTGCAGCAAAATGAATATAACTGGAGAATATTATATCCAGTGAAATAAGCCAGACACCAAAAGACAATATCACATGTTCTCTCTCGTATGTGGTAGCTAAAAAAAATAGCCAACGGCGATTACCAGAGGTTGAGAAGGACTGAGGGCTGGAAAAGGTCTTTGGATTTGATCAAAGCACCCTGTACGCCTACATAGAAATATCACACCGGACCCCATTAGCGTGTGCGATTCATGTTGCTAAAGAAACAAAATCAGATGGAGAAAAAGGCCAAAACACAGGTGATAAAGAGGAAGAAAACAATGTTACTCTACGCTGGTAATTTTAACCACCGTAAACCCACAGGTCCACCAACTGTTTGCCTGGTGGCCGAGGGGAGCAGGGAGGAGAGCGCAGGGGTGGGGGGCTGGCTCGGGGCAGCCGGGAGCACCGTGCCTCTGCTTGGCAAGAAGTCTGTTCAGACGCCAGAGGAGCAAGTGCTCCCACGTCTGCTTCCTGCTGCTTCAAGCCCACAGCTGACGGAGACAGGGAAGGGGACGGCTTGGGTCAGGGAGGGGAGGCTGCTGCGTGGACCAGAGGGGGCGTCACGCTGATTTCCAGCCCGTCCACCTCCAGCTCCTAACATCCTGATCACGAAGAGTCCCACCTGGCTATGGCTCCCTGGAGAGGTCTGGTCTTTGAGCCGACGGCAGATCTGCCGTGGGTCTAGTAACACCCCCTGGAGCCTCTCTTCCACTTCTGTCTTCCACGTTTCTGACGAGTCCCTTAGAATAATAATAGAAAACGCATATGGCACTGCGCATATGCCAGCTGCTATTCAAACTGCTTTCCTTGTATTAATACCTTCAGCTGTCACAACAAGTCTAAGCATCATCATTGGTCCATTTTACAGATGAGAAAAGTGAGGCAGAGGGAGGTTAGGCAAGGTGCCCTGTCCCCATAGCGTACAGCCATTCAACTCAGATTGGAGCCCATTGGTTCTTTCCTTTTGCTACACAAGCTTTTCCTCTTTACACCTTGCCTTTCTGTCTCCTCGGGCTCCCCATCCTTTACCCTGCCCTCGGACTCCTGGCCCAGTTGGCCAGGGCCACCTTGGACAATCAGCGCAGCCGGCTCACCGGGAAGCAGGTGCTGAGAGCGTTTCTAGCACACAGGAGGCTTCTGAAGGACGGAGTCAGTGCCAGCAGCCGAGAAAGCCAAGCGGATTGGAAGAGGGGCAGGGCAGATCTGAGGCATCGCAGTTTCCGCAGCCCCACTGAAGTGCGCCTGTAAAATATTCATAGGTCACTCTGCAAATGCAAAACACATTCAAGTGACTGGAGAGATAAGATCAGCTGAAATTCTTCCAACATTAATCACAATGCCCTATTTTTGTCCCAAATTTTGTTGAAGCAAAATCACCAAGAACCCACTATTACAATGGGACCTCATGATGTCTATGAATAATGATAATGGAGAATATTTTATTGATTCAGTAAAATAGTTTACAAATTTAATTTAAGTTTAAGATTTGGGAATGTATTCGCTACCTTGGAGATGTGATTTACCTAAGAAAACAAAAGCTACGCAGTTTTTCTGACTGCTAAGAAAATGTCTACAGATCTCCTGGTAAAGATTATTAGATTCCTGGTTTGTGTGCAAGTCTGTTGGTTTGTTGGTTTAATAATGTCTCTGCTGGTCGATGCATCAGGTTGTTTTAAGGGTTCTGTGGTATATTAGCAAGTCTTTTAAGTAAGAGATAATTCATCCCCTGGAGAAAAAAAAGAAAATAAATAAATAAAAAAGAATGCCACAGCCCCCGCAAATCTGTTGATTGTCAGATGCTTATTACATTGGCTGCTCCAAACGCTATTAAAGTGAAACCTTGGATTCTTACCTTATTTATTTTTACAATCTGCTTATGCAACATCCATATTTCAAAGCTGTGTTTTTGTTTTTAATCACAATATGAATTTTAGCAATCACAATTATAACTTAGGTAGAGGAGCATAAATATTAAAAATCATACATACAGATAAAAGGAAAGTTGACAGATGTATTAGTTAAAGAATAACTACTGAAGTATTGAAATTAGGAATATTTTCCAAAGGAAATTAAAAGCAACTACGTTAAAATAATAGGAAATAAAATGTGATAAGGCAGAATGGTCCATCTGCTAAATTAATACACTCATTCAATGTGATTCAATACAGTATTGTTATTCTGCATTGTTAAATTCACTGAGAAGCTAATTTGCTGGAAACTCCCACTTTCAGGTTGAATTATTTTTGCAGAATAAACCAGCCAGACTCTTAACAGGTATTTTTCGGCAGAAATCGCTCTTTCAAACCCTGCACAGTGCAAGCTACCTACCTGTTAAGACACCAGACATAACTTCTGGCTCTTTGAAGTAGCTCAACCCTGTCTCTTTCTCTAAACTAATTTGAGTTGCTTGTTAACTCTGCATAAATGTTCTCCATGGAAACGGTGCCTTGCAAGTCACACTGAGACAGGAGAAAAATTATTCAGCTACTGGGTCTATCAGTTAGAATTATCAGGTGAACTCGTTCCTCCCCTTTATACTAGTGAGTTTGATAGGATCAAAAGAGAATTAGAAGCTTATCAAATAAGCAGTTGTATATGGGTAAGTTTCCCATGAACCGATCCAAGAGAGTCTGTAACAATTATGTAACATGTGTTGCTCAGTTTGCCAAAGTATTTCTCCTTTCTGTGATGAAAACCTGAGGTGTGAAGGAGAAACATTGCAAAGAGAAGGATGATAAGCAAGACCCAGGAGAAACTTTCTGCTGCAAAGGGAAATTGACTAATCTTAGAAATTTGTTTTTCCTTCCTGGTCCAGGCTTGATCCAACTGGAGGAAACTGACTGGCATTTCATGATTTTTCTTTACAATACGCTGAGAGCAAGCTGTGGAGGAAACGAGGCAGGTCAGAGCAAAAAGGAAGCTGCCTTGTACCTTCGTCAGTTTCCTGTTGCATCCAACTGATAGCAAAAGAAAGAGGATGTGATGTTATGGTCCTGGGGTTTGATTCTAAATTATAAACGGATAAATACCTTCACCTTCCATTCAGGGGCTAGCGATCTGCAGGTTTTTCCTGACCAAATTGAGATTCAGATTTTAATCCCTGCCTCTTAAAAATCCCTTAACTCTCCAAATTTTTTAAATGTTTATACTCTGCGTGATATGAGAAGCCAAAAGTTGAAATACATTCTTTATATTTAGCCCCATAATGATCTGTAAAGCTCTGGAAATGCACCAAATCTGTTTCCAGGGAAATTAGCTCCTTCTGACTTTGTGGGGCTCATCGCAGAGGCTTCCATGGGGAAAATGTCTTCAGATTTAGTAGGGGGTTAGTAGTATATGGGAGACACTTTGTTAGATTGCATTTCCTCAATATTCCCTGTAGAGCATTAAGCAATTCTACTCAAAAAATCGTAATGACTTTCTCTTGATGAAAGAAAAACCTCTCATTTATTTACAAAGCGTTGGGAAAGCGTATGTAATTTCTGAACACTAAGGCCCTTATGCACGTTTCCAGACTTATCTCAAACCACCTCACTTCTAATTGGTTTTCAGAGTTTACGGTGATGTTCCATGTTTAGGAGCGTGAATTAGGCCACGCTGTCATCCTTAAGGTGCTCAGCGTTTCTAGTCTCCTCTCCCCAGTTGTGTCCATAATTCCACCCGACCTGAAGTTGCTGTCCCTCCATCAAGGCTGGCTTGCCTACTGTAGACCCCGAGAACTGCACAAACCTTGGGGTACTGATGGCTCCTGCCTCTTAGCTGACCTCACATCACTTGACAGACTTAATGGGGCACATTCTGGACTATCTTGTTGTGCATTACTGATTCTTAATCTTGTGTTCCTCTTTAAAATTGTTTTTTTAATAAAAAAATCAATAAATCATTTTTGTAACAAGCTCAGAAAGGAAATTATGGATAGGGCTGTGCAACATTCAGAATAGTGTCTTTGACTCAGTTATACAGATTTTAAACTGATATATTGAAAGCACAAGTTAAACAAGAACAAACACAATCTTGTGCAACCTTGGGTAGCATGAAATGATCAAGTACTACAATAAGATCGTGTTTTATTTGGGGGGATTCAACTAGGTTAATTTATTGCCAGTTCAGATTTACAATTTTATAGGAAACATCTTGCTACTTTAACCAACCAATCAACCAACCAACAAAACAAAGGCAAACAAAATCTCCTCTGAGTCTACACCCTAATGGCACAGGTTCATTGACTGTAATAAATGGACCACTCTGGTGCAGAGCGTTAATGGTGAGATAGGCTGCATATGGGGAAGGTGCCTTCTGCTTAATTTTGTTGTGAACTTAAAATTGTCATAAAAAAGTCAATTAAAACAACAAAAACATATTAAAAATCTGAGCATCTGAACACATTGTATTGAACCCGTGTATGTTGCCCACTGGGTATTTGGTCATCATGACCAAGTCAGCTGTGTGCCAAGCCTCCACCACCATTGCTGTACAGAAAGATGAGCACCTGGGTGTGTCGCCTGGTGAGGAAGAACCACAGCACATGTATTTTGGCTGCGTTTTTTTCCCCTAGTGCTGGGGATCAAACCCAGGGCCTCTTGCAGGCTATACATTTGCCTTTGCACTGCACTATACGTCCAGCCCTTATGGGTCACTTGGAATGGACCCCTGGAAGCTCTGCCTTTGCCAGAATCTGCCTGGACTAGATAGAACTCGCTAAAGAATCAAGCAGTAGACTTTAATCAGTGGGAAACAAGAAGGGAGGACTCAACAGATAAATTGTCCTTCATCCCGTCCCTGGACTGTTCCAAGACATGCTGGTTTCCAGATAATCAGCTGCATTTCCTTGTGAAGATGTGGCCAGCAAAACAACATGCCTCCTTGTAAGGGTTCCTCTTCCTTCTTCATTTTTTATTTCAGTCTTATTTCCCCAAGATTGTACTCTCTCAAGCAATATAACCTCCGGCTCTATTTCACAGGGAATCTGAACACCTAATGTTATGGATTAAAAACTGGTGGTCAACTTAACACCAGCTGGATTAAATCAGCATGGTGCTGAGTGTAGCTGTTCCACCCGAGGAAAGTTGCCAGCATAAAAGGAGACATGGAAACAGAGAGAGGGGCATTGTGGGTTCTCCTAAGTGTTGTTGTTTGGAGCCGTTGGTTCTCCTGGAGGAGCTTGTCATGCTAGCTTCCCTGACGTGGACTTGGTTATTATCACTGGAGGAGCTCGGGATCTCGTCGTCACTGAGGATGGCTGCAGTACTTTTAAGGGGAGCCCTGGTCCTTGTTTTGAGCATTGCTTCTTGGCTTGAGTATAGAACCCTCAACCTTCTGGCACAGATCCCCACTGGCACAGACTTTCTAGCTTCCACCACTGATCTTGGGTCTTTCCAACACAGATTCATAAAATAGACTTGTGTGAGTCACCATTGTGGGCCCTAGGCCTCCAGTTGGACTCAGGGGAGGCCTTGTCGTGGGCTGTAGGTGTTCACTGGAGTCATGCAGGACACTGCTGTGGGATCCAGGCCCTTGGCTGGACTTTCCAGGTGTTTGGTGTTGTGGACAGATTCCCTGCACTTTCTTGTATTTAACTCCGGGTGACCATCATAAAATGATACAAATTCTGTGTCCTGTATGTAATTATTCTCCTTGCAGCCCCTGACAACACCTAGCAGACACCACACCCTTTGCTTACTGTTGTAGAAAAGACATAGTATTCTACAGCAACAAATGTTCTTTTCATATTTTATTTTCTTTCATATGGCTCACAAAAGAAAAGGCACAATAGAGCCTCCCTCCTACACATGTCCTGGCAGTGCCATATTTCCTGCATCCTGCTCTCCTCCCACTATTATAGCTTGGAAATTGTTCTGTTTTGGTACATGAAAAACTTACAGAACATTTTTCGGCTGCATAGTATTCCAAAGTGTAGGTATGCCATCAGTTATTTGCTCATCCATTATTAATGAAACTGTTTCACTCTAATTTCACTCTATTACCAATAGCAGAGAAGGACTAACACTGCATATAAGTTGATCTTCATGTGTGCCTGTGTATCTATAGAATAAATTTCTAGAAAGAGCATGTAGATGTGCAGAAGGGTATCTGTTATTATATGTTTCCCACGGCACAGTGTCGTAACAAAGGTTTTGCTCTGGGCCTGTCTGGCTGGTGAAAACTGGTGTCTCAGCATGAATTCAAGTCATACTTCTCTTATTGTGAGTGGTTAAACATAATTTCTGATGCTCC